GAGCCTGCTTCAGATTCTGTGTCTCCCTCTCTCTGCTCCTCCCTTCTTTGCACTCTGTCTCTCCCTCTTTCAAAAATAAATATTAAAAAAAATTTTTTTAGGGGTGCCTGGGTGGCTCAGTCAGTCGAGCGTCCGACTTCGGCTGAGGACATGATCTCACAGTTTATGAGTTCGAGCCCCACGTCAGGCTCTGTGCTGACAGTTCAGAGCCTGGAGCCTGCTTTGGATTCCCTCTCTGCACCTCCCCCATTCATTCCCTGTCTCTGAAAAATAAATAAACGTTAAAGAAAATTTAAAAAAATTTTTTAAAGTATGGCTTCTCAAATTCAGACTGTATCTTCAGAGTATAACATAGGTTCTGTAACCAGTATAAGCCTCTGTGCACAGACCAGTGCATCTCCTGTAACAAACATGCAACAGACATTTAGGAGACTGACCCAGATGAACAGAAACTGGTACGTTTTGAATCCTCTCCTCCAGAGAGTTCTATAAACCACACTCCAGCACTTAGGAACTATATGCCAAAATCAAAGATGCAATAAGGTGAATGTATGGAACCCCTTTAATTCTCTGACACTTGGCATTTGAACATGACATCGAGGTCCACCCAGCACACCACACGCTAGATGTGGGAGAGGCTGGGACAATGACAGGAATAAGGGACAGAGGGCTGTGATCGCTCACAGGTCTCCTCCCAACTCTCCCTTCAGTGCCATCACAGGGGCAGCTTGAAATAGCCAGGATGGGAGTGTTTACACCGCAGGAAGCAAACACCCCCTGCCAGGTAGGCTGGTGTTAAATGACTATCAAGCGGGTGGAGGCATGCCCTTGAGGCAGGGGAAGCCACAAGGTAAACGTGGGGGCTGTGTGGAGTCTAGCCAGGCGCTAGGTGACAGCTCCGCTCTCTCGCTCTCTCTTGCCCACCCTCTGTAACAGCTCCTCATTTCTCCGCTTAATGAGTATCTGTTGTTCTGAACTGTGCAGTGCAGGGCGATTTGTTCTCTGAAAGACGGGGGCCCAGCAGGAGGGCAGGCAGCCGCAAGCAGTGACAAAGGGCTGAAGAGTTCTGGGCAGAAACAGATTCGAGACTCAGAAAACAGGTGCTGGCGGGGCGCCTGGGTGGCGCAGTCGGTTAAGCATCCGACTTCAGCCAGGTCACGATCTCGCGGTCCGTGAGTTCGAGCCCCGCGTCGGGCTCTGGGCTGATGGCTCAGAGCCTGGAGCCTGTTCCCGATTCTGTGTCTCCCTCTCTCTCTGACCCTCCCCTGTTCATGCTCTGTCTCTCTCTGTCCCAAAAATAAATAAACGTTGAAAAAAAAAAATTTAAAAAAAATAAAATAAAAAAAAAGAAAAAAAAAAGAAAACAGGTGCTGGGAAGTTCAGGGTGGCTTCCTTAGGGACGTGGCAGGGCCAGCAGGTGTGAGCCAGGTGTGCACAGGCTGAGGCATCAGGAAGAGAGAATTTCAGGCCGGCTGTAGGACGGTACAGGTGGAAACAGGAAACACACACGTGTGCAGGCAGGACATCCGGGCGGGGTCCGGCAAGGCCAGAACGGAGAGCTCAGGATCCCTGGTCTCAAGTTGAGCACTCATCTCGTTGAGAAACCAAGGGGGTTAGTTCCAGGGGCTTTGTGGAGGACGGGTCCACAGTAGGGAAGATGGGGCTAGGAGCCTACAGGACTCACAGCAGGCCGGGCAGGTGGGAGGGAGGACAGTGACCAGAAGAGGCACAGACGCAGAGGGTGTTCAGAAAGCAAAATCAGCAAGACCTGAAGGCCTCCAAGAACCGTGCACTCAGTTTTGGCTTGAGGGGGATGGACGTGCCATCTTGGTAACGAGAAGAACAGTGAGCTCCATTTGGACGTTCCGAGTCTGGGAGACCCGCGGGCACCCACGTGGAGATATGGAGGAGGAGTGGGGACGTGAATCTTGGGCTCTGGGGAGAAGCCAGCAGATTTCAGGACCATTAGCACCCAGATGTTCAAACGAGTGACTGTCTCCCAGGGACGGAGCACAGTGAGCAAGGGAATGAAGCCATCCCACCACCTGTGTGCAGAAGACAAGGCCATCTCAAAGGCCACCATAACCACGCACCACAGACGGGGCCCAAACACTGGACATCTGTCTTTCTTCCACAGTCCTCGGGGGAAAGAAGCCTGAGACCCAGGTGTGGGCA